AAGAGTGCTGAGTCCCGAACCGACAATGAACAAACTTCCACAGAAACCGGGGAAGGATCTGTAGACGGCGGAGGGCCAGAACATCAATGCTCCTACACCGTAGATGCACAGACCGACGATGAAGGTCCATCTGTATCCGAATCTTCGTACGATCCATCCCGAGTATGTTAGAGGACCAATGAAGTAAGCACCAAAGTATGCTCCTTGCAAGCCTCCGGCCTTGGCAGCAGTAATGTTGAGTGCGGTCTGGAACTTTGCGTTCAAGACATCAAGGAGTCCGTAGGCGAAACCCCAGAGAAAGAAGAGGATTGTGACAAGGGTGATGGGGTAGATAGATTGTCGGACAGTCAAGGAAGCAGCACCGGTCAAGCCGGTATTACCAACCGTTCGGTTGTTCATTACTTCGGCATTGGAAGGACGACGCTGTTCCAAGACGTCTTGAACTTCGGGTTCTGTTTTCTTGCCGAACATGATGATGTCGTGGTCGTTTTGAGGATAGAGTTGAAGAATTAAGAGAAGTGCTTGATTTCCAATTAAGATGGAGCAAGAAAGATAGAATAATGAGAGAGAAGAGAGCAAGAAGTATCAGCCAGATGAGACTTATCGAACTGTCTGGTCGTCAAAAAAGAGAGGATATTCTCATTCCTATTTATCAGCATTTTGAGATATCCCCAATGCCCACAATATCCCCAACATTGAAATTTTCGGTGAATTGCTCCTTGGCCTTCTAGTCACATCCAACCCGCACTTTCTTGCCTGTGCTAGCAGATCAAGAGTTTCCAGGAAGTATCCTTACATAGAAGGCGTGTGCTATCATACCCACCTACACCAATTCTAGTTACAAATCCGAGACATTTCTACCCTTAACGCAAAACGTATACATGAAAGGGGGTTTTCCCGATACACATGATTGTGATTGGTTCACTAGCCTAAAAGTGGGTAATCGATATCTCTCGAGTGTAGAGGAACTCGCCGCACCGCAAACACCAATTAATTCGCGTCAATACACCCCCATGTCTCGAGTAAGTACCACAAGTCCCTCGAGCATCCTTGCAGGAGAAAAATTATATCCATATATGAGGCTGTGCTATTGGCCAAGTCGTGCATTTCCGCGAATTTCCCCCGCACCCCGTGGTGCCCCGCGTTACTTTAGCCGCTTGGCGCAAAGTCTATTTCCACTTTTTGTATCATCATCAACAGGAACATGGCATCTATATTCCAAATGAACGAATGTCAGAAAGTTTGAGGAGATCGGGAATCTGCGCATCGGATTGGCCTCTACCGCATCGTGTGATTTGATTAGTCTTCACGTTCCCCACGGCGATACCGGTGCCACGCATGAGGCTCTCTGTCGAAGAATATCTTGGCCCTGGCGAGTCCGGGCCAAGAGAGTTACTTACTTGCTTGGCTGGAGATAGTTTAAGAATTTCGGCGAAATTATGGATTCGCTAGTTCCCCAAACATCATTAGGCTTGTTAGGAGAGCATTGGCATGCATCGATTGGGAGATAGCAAATGATCTCGAACAATTACCTTTCGATAGATATCAACAACATGGTACGCATTGACACTTTGTTCTTGAGGAGAAAGTTAAATCAGCATTTCAATCTATTATCTCACGAGCTAGAACACACGAAGAAGAATGTCATCTGAGAAGGCCAGGTAATTTCCTGAAAGTGGTGGTTGATATTGTCATATTGAAATTCTCCTAGCCTCTGACCAAGCGATGGGGTCAATATGGCCCAGTGACATTGCCACCACAATCTCATATCTGGAGTCAACAGATTACTGTTCGTCAGTCAGTTGACATACTACATGACAAAAAGGCGACAAAGCTTTCATTTTCGTTCGAGAACATACAAAATCTTCTCTCAAGCTCCAGTGCCATGCTACTCGTTACCCAATGATTCGATACAGTTTTCGTCTCAAATGGCTTTTTCTAACTCCATGTCCATGTCCATGTTCCTCGAACCCCAATCAAGTTCTCCAGATTGTCCCCTCATTTTGACCAAAACTTCGCGACAAACCCTCCGAGACCCTTCTTTCCATCCCTCCTAACAAAATCGCGATACTTCTCCAATTCGAGCTCGTATTCATCTTTCATGTCTTGATATGCACTTTCTCCATCTTCATCAGATCTGAAGTATCTTTCAAACTCCTCTCCAGACCATGTTTTCAGCATGTCCTTCATCTTCAGACTCTGGCGCGCAAAAACCGTGTATTGAAACTTATCCTTCTCATAATACGGCTGCTCGTAAAAGAAAGCCATCGTGCGACGCCAACTAAGTATGTCGAGAAAGCGAGTGCAGTGCTTGCTAGCTAGGACGAAATCGGGATGGAAACCAGCGTACATGCGTTTATAAACTTCCACATCCGTGCGCTTATACTTCCCAGCAATATCTTGGTACAAAAGCGCGTCTGCGATGGCGTTGCCAATGTTGAGTAATTCCTCCCCAGACCCTGCGATCCTGATTTGTAGCGTCAAATCCATCTTCATCTTTTCCGTCGACACTTTGTGAGTGCGTATCTGGGCGCCGATTTTGAGGAATGGTTTCATGAGGTTTGCCTCTCTCGTCAGCGTTTCGACTTGGGCTTCTAACTCGCGGACTTTCTTTTCGGCTTCGCGCAATTTCTGGTCTTTATCGCGCAACTTTTGGTTGTGGATAGTGTGGAAAATTCTATCTGATGCGACAAGTCGATCTGTCACTGTACTGCAACCTATACAAGGTCCAATGGGTAATTGGCCAGGTGGGTTCATACTGAGGATAGATAAAGGTGGATTTTGGTCGTTGAGTGGTTAGTAAAGTATTTGCTTGGATCAAATTTGCTGAAGATATATGTCAGAGACTTTGATGCGCACAATGGCAGACGTGACGCGACCTAGCTATCGTGAAGATGGAAGGACTCACGTATTGACTTTAACGCGCCTCCAGACAAGGTGAATTAATAAGGGCGAGAAGGGCGAGAAGTCTATTGAGGCGGTTGGTCTAAAAGTGAATTTGGGTGAATTGATCAAATTATCTCTGGCTGAGCTATTTTCTTTGTAAGTTAACTTGAGATTATAGTCTGGACAGCAATATCGGATGATATAGTTTCCAAAGTGAAAGCTATCCAGAAACATTCTGATGACTTCCAAGAGTATCAGACGCGAATACACTCAAGTTTGCATGGTATTGCTTTCATACTCAATGTTGAATCTTGCTATGTATATCTACCACAACACTTGCAATATCGAAGTTTAAGGAGATTGAGTTGTCATGACAGTCACGGGCCTGTCGATAAAAGAAGGTAATGTGAACACGACGAAGTAAAGATAATTGATGGGCACTGGCATAAGGATACCAAGTAAAACTCAAATAGATTGCTTCGTAGGAAAAGAGGAGTGATATTTTCATTAAGATAGATAGATGTGTATGAACGACTAAGTTGATACATGTTATTTGTTCTTTCCTCATCAGTTTGAACTAACAACTTGAATACGGATTGACCTCTCATTCAACTCTTTCAGACCTTAACATACAAATCATTCTTCGAGAAAAATCCGCAGTGTATAAATACATTGGTGGCTATCATATCTTGCGATTTTGTTATTTATGAAGCTTCGTTAATTCCTTGATGGTTTTGGACCCCTCTCAACTCCAACTTTGTCTTTGTCATTTGCTGAGAATTGTCATTGTCGTTATCAATATTAAGCATTGTTCTGCACCGAATGAACGTCTGAGTTTCCCTGTCCGTCTCTGCAGTTCAAACCAGAAGCATGCTATCCAAAAGTCTGTTGGTCCAGAGTCGTCATTTTGGATGACTGAGTGGTCATTCTGCTTTTGTTCATGCATACCTAGTTGGTGTGAAAAGCATGATTGTAGGATCAGAAATTTTGACTTGCCATCTCTCACATTTACTGCGGAAATATCGCGATTGAATCTACCACTGAACTCTCCTTCAGTTGATCAATTTCTTCATCTCTGTAGTATATCGCCCGCTCTCAGAGGTTCATTTGACGGTCCAAACTTTCTTATACAACCACACCTCTCTTCTAATATTTCCGCATTGCTTCGTGAATCCTAAGGGATTTATACTTATAAATCAGGGAAGTTGACGTTTCACTATTGAGTGAATTAGAGCTTGAGAGTGCATAAATCTCCTTCTACTGTTTGATTTAGAGCTTTTCCACCTTCACAAACTTTCGAGCAAGTATAATATACCAGCTGTTTTCGCGAAATGCACTTGAAGGAAAATTGATGATAAAGACTGTCAGATATATTCTATTGGTAATTATGTTTGAGTCTTTCGTCCCAATAACTTGTTCGGTCCATAATCGAGTCCCCCATGTTCTGACCGTTGTGCCCGAGTTTCCTGCTGGTAATTAGCATTCATTGTGTAAAGAAAATGAACTTCTGACTTACCAATCCGATTTTCGGCGTCTCTTCTCGTATTCCGCAGCTTCATTGTATTCAGAACACATGGAAAAGAAGATAGGATCGGAGGTAGATTCTACATTATCATCTCTATCAACATTACTTTAAGATGACGTAGGCGGTTGGCACTCTTCCATTTCTTCGACTGCCCTCATTATTTCCTGAAAATTCCGCTCAAAAGCTGTATCGGAAAGCTAAATAGTCTTGAGCTTCTTCATCTCGTATCGCATGTCAAGAAGCCTTTGTATTCTTGGAGAGTCCTTGTACTTGGCGAAGGTTTCAATGCTCATACCATACCAGAGCCTAAACCATTCATTGTCTCCATCGTTTGGAGTTAATTCTGTCCTACAACGTGACAGCTACATACACAAGATTATTAGCCGAACTTTTCATATGGCTAGTGGTAGAATAGAAGACAAAATTTTACTTTCCCCATGCGCAGCAAGATTTCCCTGATCTATGACCTCGTTACATGCTCTAGGATGTTCACACCACTTAAACTCGCAAGACAGGACACGTTCAGCAAGATCACGATACAGAAGATTTTCCTTCTCAAGTTTCATGATTCGAGTTTCGCAACTTGTTTTCAGGCGTCGATATCTGTCTTAAGTTGCGCGATTTGACCTTCGTAGCCCGCATTCAGCGAGACAACAGCTTCCTCGTGGGCGGCTACAAGCTCTTGTTGCTTGATACTTTCTTCCGTGCGCTTGATGTTCGCTTCTTCTTTCATACCATTTATTACTTTGCCATGAGATGCTATCAACTTTTCCTGGCAGTATAATGTTTGTATTTTCTGCTTGGATAACCCAGTTCTGAGACTTATGATATCTGCTTCCATCTTCTGAACATGTTCCCATCGAAACGTAGAATCGCAGTACAGGACTTGAGAGATTTCAAGGGTCTCCAGGTATGAATATGAAGCCTGCCAGTTTTTGACAAGAGCTCCGTAGTCCTATAAAGCGACATCAGTATTCATACCACTATATTCTTCTCATACATTGGAAGACTCACCAATGGAAGGTTGATTAGACTTAATGACCTGCTTTCCGCCATCTTAGACAGAGATTCGTCCCAACCTTGTCTCTTTTTAAGCTGCATTGGAGTTAAATACATCCCGAAAATATTTACGTCGCTATCTTCGTTCACGAAAAGCGCTCGTACAATGCCAAGATCGTTTTTGGAGTGTGACTGAGATTGAACAGCTAGATTTGTTTTCATATCTTTTATCTGAGCTGATTGTAATGTACAGTTCTCTCCATCGGCATTCGCTTCGTCTGCAGGAGCACTAGGAATATATTTGTCCACGTTTGAAGGCTCTGGTTTTGCTTCAATATCTTGAGACATGCTCTCTCACTGCAGTTTGAGTATCGTTGCTTTTAGGTTATCCATCTCGCTTCGATGGGTTGATCGCTCCTTGCCGAAATCTTGCTTCAGTACTTCTGGATATGATTCAAGATCTTTGATGACAAGGTTTAATCCGGAAATTTTGACTTGTGATTGTTCGCGTGTATTTTGAAGTGTTCCCTATGTGTCCTTGAGTTTATTCTCTAGACGTTGTACCTCACTTTTTAATGCATTCGAATCCGTTTCTTGACTCTGGAAATAAGTCTGTAATTTCTGGATCAATTCCATTGGATTATCAATAACAGTGGTCTCTTTGGCAGGGTTGTCCTCTGCAGTTTTCTCCTTGACTGTTGTCTCCTGGGTGAAAGCTAGTTTGAATTTGTTAAAGCAATGCATTGCCAGCCTTTTTCTGGCTGCCAATCTTGTTGTTTCATTTGCCCATTTTGAGTCTGTCAAAAGAGGTATAATATGAAGATGGTTTTTGAGTTGATGGTTTCGAAAATGATGGAAAACCAGATTATCAAAGAATGTTGTTAAGAAGTTGATTGATATTTGTGGTGCCCCTACTGTTGTTAATGATCATGATACAGCTCCTGTTAATCGAGAATTTACCTAGTGCTTTTGTCTCCACTAGTTCTGATAAGCGATGTTTATTCACATAAAGTGTGTGCGGTAGATATATGGATAGTTGACCTATCAGGTATCAACTGTCAACTGTGATGTCCTGAGATGTTGATCTGTAAGAAATAGACACTAGCTATTTCAAGTCATATTGTAGACTCCTGGGAGATTGACCAATAGCTCATTTATAGTTGAATAAATGTAGAGTTGTGCTTATAGAGATATATCAATATCTCTTCTACTTGTTGGAATCTTCTTTTGACATCAGTATGCTTAGTCAATCTAAGCTAGCTAATAATTAATCTTTGTTATTCACTAATTTGACACGGTAGATATATGTTTTGGGAGATGAATCTCAAGTAAAACAAAAAGAAATAATGGTCACAAAGCTACACTTATTGATGAATCAAACTGGAATCCCAGGAATATCATCCGAACTCTCTGTTGGCTCTTTCATCTAAAGATCGTTTTTTAGATTCATTGGAGAATTGTGCGGAAGCTAATGACCATCAAGTAAAACCTTTCTTAGCTCAGACTGTATGCAAGTCTTAGAAAAAACTATGACGACACAAGAATCTAGAAAGAATGTTTTGATGTACAGCCCCAAACCTTAGTAAACATTTTCACAGCCAAGACAGACTTGGAAAAATCCAATCTTTGTATTATTTGATCCATAGTTTATCTCTTCCTCTCCTACGCATTGACTAACGTGTAATGGTTTTTCGTCATTCGATGATTTATACCTCAATTTTATCATAGCAGCACTCTTGATCTAAGACATTAATAGATAGAGGTCTCAGAATTTTGTGTACTGGCTAGTCCCTTCACATGATTACACTTTACAGAGAAGTTACTAGATTGAGCATATAAGTCTTTTCATGACGTCACTTCACTCAGATTATATTACAAATGAACAAAACCCAATTCAAAGTAGTTGAAGTATTTGATTGACTAAACAGTTTCCTGAAGTAAAGTAGTGGAGACAGAAATGTAGATGCATTGTGATATGGCCCCTCTGAGATGGTCCTTATGCTAGTAATAGAACAGATACCCAAAGAAATTTAAAACTGGTAGTTCGTGAATTGAGCCTGCATTATTGAGATCTGGTTTGTGCCTAGCGTGATCTTAATGCTTAGTCCAGGGCAAAGCATCTTTCGCAGAGGAGAGAAACTCTTTGCCATATTCCTCGATTTGGTCAAGTTTACTTCTCCTCTGAGTCTCTGCCGTCCAAACCGAAGCATTAGATTTCACGCTTTTGAAGCTTCCGCCGAAGATAGACTTCCTTTTCCTGTAATGGATTAGTAAATTATTGGATGTATAAGTACTAGGGTACTTACGGATCTCTGCTCTCTCGGAACTGCCTTCTTTGGTAAACTCTTGTGATATCCCAAATACTACACAGTCTCTGGAACGTGTCCCTTCCTACTTTGCTCTCTAACAGAAACTTATCAATTGATGCCGGTGTGACTTTTTCATTCTTCTCCAGACTTCCAGTTAAAAGTTTTTGAAATCCCTCTTCAAATTCTGGATCAACATCCCGGTTTTCTGCGCTGCATCTGTACAATTCGTAACGCATGTTTATAAGCTTTACAAACGCTGCACTTTCTCCGTACCTCTCCGCCGTGTCTACAGATACACCATATGTCTCTTGAAACCATGCCTGCTCATTGATATCGGGATTGGATTTGATTCGAAAAACGTCGGCTAGACAACTACATGAACATTAGCAAGTGAGACCACGAACAATTAGTAGAAATTTCACTTACGTTCCACCATGTGCTGAGATATTTCCTGTCTCGATAAGATGATCATTTCGAATCTCATGTGGTTTCGTCAGCTCTCTCTTTCGGTTCAAGATGCTGACAGAAACTTCACGATGCGCAGCTAGTTCCCGACCTACTCTCTGCATCTCAGCAGCTGAAGCTAACTTTTCTTGGTGGAGTTTGGCGATTGTGCTTTCTTGTTCCTTAAGCTTCTCCTCATATTCTATCTTCGTCTGGGTAGCCGCAGATTCTTCTTTCTCTTCAAGGTTGGCAATAATGATCCTCTGTTCTGCCAACTTCTTCTCATAGGTCTTTTTTGCTGTAGTTTCCAAGGTCTTGGTTCTCTGTTGGAGATTGGCGATAACGGCTTTTTGTTCCTTCAACTTTGCCGTATACTCACTATTTAATTCGGTGACTGATAACTTCTCCTTTTCTTTCAAGCTTTCGATAACTTCACCTTGTTCCTTCATCTCTCGCTCATGCTTACTTTTCATTTCAACAATCGAGATTACTTGGTCCTTTTCTCGTTCCTGCAAGCTTGAAAGAACACTAGCTTGCACCTTCAACTTTTTTTCTTGCTCAATGCTGTTACGCTTTAGCTTTATGTTCTCGGCCGAAAGCTCTGAATTCTCAGAAGTGATGTTTTTCACTGCCTTTTCTAGAGCTTCTGATTGTATATCGAGCTTCGACAATTGATCTCCGAGCGCCTTGTAGCAAAAAAGTACCTCAAGGTCGTCCCGTCTGGTGTATTTCATTTGCCATGATGCAACCGCAGATTCGTATTCCTAAAAAGGCTATTAGCTTTTCTCAGACAACTCTTCGTAGGGGGTGGAAGCTACCTCTCGATCTTTCCATAAGCGTGTTGTATCGAAAGTTTGTCTCTTTCGAAAGATATCATGAATGAGAGGTACCCAAGCCTTTCTTGCTTTATACTGAGCGTCGTTGTAGACTAATTTTGATTCGGCGTCGATTTTCTCAAATATGCCGATCCTGGTCTCAGTCAACCTTTTCTCTGCTCCAGCTATATCATTAGCTATACCCAATTCCCTGATTGCTACTCGAAGCCATCTGTTTTCCGTTTTCAATTTAAGATTAGCTTGTTTGAGTTTATCGATCTCTGAGATTTGGGGCTCCTCAATGGGCGGATTCGGAGCGTTATTCCGAGACGTGCGTTGGGTGTTGGTCGGAGCGTCCATAGGCGGCATTTTAAACTATGTAGAATTCGAAGTAAGAAACTGTACTACTTTGTTGGTTATTCGAAAGTTGCGACTATGATTTCTCAGTCGTAGTCAAACATCGAAATATATGGAGAGTATGTCGTGGAAATTATGCGTTTGTGTTTTCTGAAAAACTAGGGTGACCACTTTTGTACTACCACGTTAAGCGAAAATTATAAGTTTCACTACTGCTAATTCACAACCACGTTTCAATTCACTCAAAATACAGTCTGCTAAGCATTGACACAGCCTTAGAGGAAGAATTGGAAATCGACTTTTCTTTCAAGAAATACATACAAGTATTGGAACACATAACAGCTAAACTATGTCGTTCAAGTTGAGCCATCTGGATGACAAAGTGAACCAGAGTCTGCTCAAGGGACTTGATGTGTAGAGAATATTGTTAAAGAATATAATTATCAGATTCAAGTCATCTATAATTGAAGTATTGGGACTCTCGATATGCATGAATAGAACCCAGCCACTTGCGCATCTTATTATTATACTGCGGTCACTTAATGTCTATGTGGTGAAAAACTTATCCTGGTGATCTACCCTTTGACTCTTCGACATTTCAGGTCTGGTACCGCCTGTATTCACTGTCTGGACCTTTTAGGCAGGGTAGTTGGAGTAATGTGACCGATAGATCACAAGAATGTGAGAACTACATCATACGCTTGCTAAATTCACTTAGTTTCATATATGTTTCGATCGCACACCTAATCTTATCACATAATTCACAAAAGAAATTAATTTCATTTAAGTGGATAATCCGTTCAATAAGAGAAATATCGACAGTCAGGGACCTGTACAAATTCATATGAAATGACCTTTGTCTTAATTACAATTCTAAGAAAATCTTAAATATACACATACTATATAAACTTGCAAGTGAAGTCGGGTATATCAAATACAAACATCATCGGATCATTCTATTGTCTCTATCAAGGCACAGATATTTCTTGCGCCATTTCGTCCTCCCACATAATGCAAAGGTCGAAATAGGCGCGTCTGGTTTCCGTGTCCGTATTTCCCACGAGGATGCTTTGCATTGATTCAGTTCCACGAGCCTTGTGCAAAATCTTCTCCAACAGCTTCTGGAAATCCTCTTCATAAACATCAGCAAAATTTCCAATGTTATGTTTATAGCGATAAACCTCGTATCTCATATTGATGAGTCTTCTGAACGCCGCGCTGCTTTCGAACTGCAATACAACATCAGGAGTTGTACCGTAATATTCCTTATACCATTCCAAATCGTTGTCGCAAGTGGACTTGATTCGGTAAGCATCTGCAAGACACCTTCTAAAATGTTAGCAATTGGATCTTCGATTTATTGAGAAAGGAAGAGAATAACTCACGTTCCTCCATGCGCAACCTTGTTGCCTTTTTCAATGATCTTAATGTCGCGTCGATGAGGTGATTTGCTCCATTCGCTTTTTCTCTTCAAAATACCTTCAACTACTTCGCTGTAAACTTCAAGCACATGATCTAGGTCCACAAGCTCAACATTTCGACTATGAAGAGTAAGTTGTAGTTCCTCCTTTTCTTTCTTAAGGTTGGTAATGATATGATCCTTTCCGCTCAATTGTTCGCACGAATGTTTCAATTGAGTACGTGCTAATTTGGCAAACTTATCACTTTGTTCCTTGGCTTCATCAGCAGCCGATGCCCGCGCTGATAGTTCTTTGCACTGGATTTCTAAATCATCCAAGCGATTTTCGAGCAGGTGGGTCAATCTGTTCTTTTCAGACATCTTCTGCTTCATGTTATCCAACACCTTATCTACAATTGAGCTTTTCTCAGCCAACATCTTCGAAGCATTGCAACGGGACTGGGTCAATGCGGATTGAAGAAGTTTGTTACCCCTACGAAGTGCCAGCTTCTCCTTAATAAGTCTGTCTTGTGCTTGTTTATACTGAGATCGAATGCTCATACTCTGGCGTCTGGATTTCAAATACAGATTTTTCCAGTCAATTGTATCTTCGCTCACATCACTGTCTTCCTGTTTCTCAAGCACTAAAGTATTCAAGGTCATAGGAATACCATTCATACTTTCATGACTAGTGAGCTGGGATATATTCGGTAGTGATGCTCGCAGGGACTTTTGGGATCTTGGGCCGGAAATCGGATTCTTTCGGTCCGTCATTGTTGACTCGTTAGCTAACAATTGTATATAGTTGTAGTGTTGATTTATTTATGTGATGGAAAATTTCTAGGAGAAGAGGCCAAAAATAAATCGAAAAGGGAGTGATTATGGTTGCAGATATGGAAGGCCCGTCCGTGAAATGAAGATAAATAATGAACGAAGAGAATGGAATCAGTCTTGTAAATGTTTGAAGGTTTTATACTAAGATGTTAGATGTTAGGACAGTCATGTGGTTGTACTGACGATAGCGCTAGCGACTCGAAACTGCCGTAGCAACAGTTTTATGTATGTAGATACGTTCAATTACATATAGACTGGTTCCATTGCAGTAACATCAACAGTGTGAGCTACAGTAATATATCGACTTCACCACAGCCTTGGTAGATGCCTCTTCGGTGCCTCAGCTAGTTTATCCATTAGGAGTGGCATATATAATAAACAATATGTTACTATGGCAGCGACCACAGTTTCTAGCTTAATTGAACCTTTCGACCTTTCCTGTCGTGTATCTAAGACCTAAAGACATGTAATATGAAAGTGCTATTCGTAAGTTCAGGGGCATCCATAAGGGGAATTAAGCGAGGTCCACGTGTTCTATTCAGGTACGGTAGGTAGAAAACAAATGATTAGGCTAGGCTAGTGCTGTCTTCAATAGTTGAAAGCTGAGAGAAAACATATGATCATTAATTATTAATTATACAGAAGAATCGAGTGTAAATTGTTATGTTCGAGGTTTTCTTCTCACTAGCGATGCCGGGCGTATCATTATTTGCGTAAGTAGTGACGACCAATCGTAGTTTGAGAACATTCGTGTCGACCTTTCTTTGAATTTTATACGTCACTAATGATATAACTCATGTTGTCTGAAAAACTTCGCATATAGCTATAGCCACTCCATCGTAGTTCTCTGTACTTGTTGGTTTCAAATCGTGTGTGTGAGTAAGCTGAAGATGTGTATAGATACAACAATTTATTTATTTGCCAGTATGACCATGTGTATCGTGTCAATCGTCCTTATACAGTCCTAAGTCATCAGAAATCAAATGATCTCCCTCGTCATAGGCCAGCTGTTTCCACACCAAAGTAGCTGAACATATCCGATTAGACTGTGCACAAATTATCTGTACCTGTAGATTATCTACAGATAATTTACTTTATGGGTTATTTGTCAAAGGTTTTATTTGTTTTATGAATTATTTGTTGAGACTTTAAAATTACTTGTTTTGTATAGGTAATTCATGAATTATTTATAAATAATTTGTAAGTATATAAGTAAATAGATTATTTATAAATATATAGGTTATTTATGGATAATTTATAAATTATTTGTAAATAATCTGTGGATATATAAAATCTTTGTTTTTTTAATTTAAAATATGAAGTTATTCTCAGATTATTTTCCAGCTCAAAAGTGATCCAAGCTTAGATTTATATTAATTTTTATATTAATTATAAAATTATACTAATATTATAAATAATTATATAATATACAAATAAATAAATATCCACAGGTAATTTGTATCTATTTTGTAGGTTATTCATTCAGATTTTTGAATTATTCGCTTTGTAGATGGATTATCCGTGGATTATCTATCAAGACCATTATTTGCTCTGCGGGTACCCGTTGCACAGTCTATATCCGATCTAGAGAATCTTCTCTATTACCCTCTTCACCCCCTCACTGATAGTCCCCATGATGCTGCTACCTCTATTCCATCGAGAACGATTCGTTTTTCCAGGCAGGTAGGATCTGCTTCCGAAAGACATCGCTTTGCTATTGTTATGTCGGGTTAGCATACCAGAAGAGTAGTATTAAAAGTATGGCTACTTACGGATCTTTCCTGATCTCCCTGGGAGTGGTCTGATCCCTATCAACTGCAGCGACCCATTTGCTAAAAACCTCCTCAAATAATGTCTTGACAACTGCGTCCTTGAAAAGTAGCACCTCCATGGTATGTGTATCATCTTCAGCAGTTTCGCCTTCTGCGGGTAGACTTTCGTTGATCGGTGTCTTTATTCTCTAGAAAGTAGTCTCAGATTCGCTTAAAGTCTGCTGATCGATGAATTCGAGATTTTGCAAGTCGAATCGCATATATAGGAGCTTTCGAACCGCTGAAATTCCTTTAAATCTTTGGACACCATTGATTGTTACGAAATACCCCTTTTCAAACCAGTCTGAGTCGCCATCCACAGGCTTGATTTCCATTCTTTGCAAGTCTGCTAAGCATCTTTTAGATTGATTAGTGAGTTTACAATTGTCTTGCACCAATGAAAAACACTGACCTTCCACCACGAGCAGCAGAATTGCCTTCCTCAATTAGGGGTGAGTTTCTATAATTGCCTGGTTTGGGGTTTGGGAAGCTCTTTCTTGCGGCCAGGTATCTGGACTGCAACTTCGATTAGTGGCTCGTGTTTTTTGTCAAGAGATGCGAGATCTGCGATGGAAAAGCCTGTAGGTCGGTGATCTCCATATCTTTTATCTGGAGAGATACTGCATGATCCCTTTCCATATCCTCAACAAGCAGGCTGTTTTGGTTCTTCCATTCAAGTAGCTGGGCAGTTTTGGTGTCCTGTCTCTGGATAATCTCGTCCGCTTCTGCCAACTCTTTGCGAGCTATCTCTAATTATTTTTTCCTCGAATCATCTAAGATAGGCTTGTTAACTGGCTCGATCTTCTCCTCAACATGCTGATTTTTCTGCGCAGAGAGTGGTTCAACATCGACATCACGAACTTCATGGATCACTTTCGTTCCACGTCTTTGATGCCCCACCAAAGTCATTTCATCTCTGCCTTGATCAATTGAGAACGGGATAGCACTCGTAGTCGACTGTGGTGAGCACGACTCTAATACATCCATGATTATAGGAAGCTCAGTTGTGTTGGGGGTTTCGTTTGTTGGGGATGCATCCATGGTACTCCCCTTTGTATTGAACGCTATCTCTAGCCTACGAAAGACTTCTTCTTTTCTGTCCTCGGGGACTAGACTCAAGTCAAAAAACCCATGTGCGAGATCTATCAGAGAAGTTTTTCGGTCTGCTTCGGGGATGTCGTTAAAGTTGATAATGTCGTCATTGACCGAGACTCCGTCTTTCGGGAAGACGATTGCGAAGCCGACATCGTAGCAATTTCTGAGAAGACGGGCTATATTTGGAAGTGATTGTTGAATAGTGTAGAATTGAGGCTGTCAATGCGTCAAAAGAAGACTTCATATAGTGTGCGTGAAAGAGGCAGGTTTCAGAAATTGATGGAAATTTGTGTTTGTATTATTGCAACAAAAATTGGTGTGGTAGTCTTGAACAAGAGGAGGTGATAAAAGTGTCAAAGTTACTCGAATATGATTCTTTCAGTATCTATCTCAGAAATTCCTATTTCCTGAGCATACAGTTGTAGTCATACAGGGTTATGTTTCCCCGAGATTTCCCCTTTGCTTCTATAAAGCATGCAATCTCGGGTGCTTGATGAGCTTGTGACTCTCCCCAATTAGTGAATTTGGTGGAAACAAATGATTTTCCAATATACTAAAAGACTTAACAAATTTGAGGGGTGGAGACATAGATGTCAAGGATCATGGATAACAGAGATCGACAAGGCAGCTAAACAAAACATTCATAATGAAGCATGCAACAATGCACTAGTAAGGTCGACTTACCTATTTTATAGGCTACAGTATATATATTTGAAATCAGAACTCGCAACAACATAACTGAAGCTCAATCTTCAGCGGACTAATTCTCAACTTCTGTCTTTTCATCAATGTTGTGTATCACTGTGCCACAAGTAGGCGAGGTTTTCAGGGGGTAAAAGCTAAAAGCATGCGGGGAAATGCCAAGAGTAAATATTGTCACATTCTGAACCAGAGATCTCAATGGAGGGAGAACCTTAGCGAAAGTCAATCTGATTCAATTCCTACCTTGAAGGATAGAATTTTCGTGGCGGAACTGTTCTGTCCAATTGGCCATGGGTAACGAATCGTTCCGGGTCATTTTATTACACTTTGGGATGTTTCCACATACTCAGACCAAAAGCTAAGAGCTATTTGCTACGCAGCCGTCAGGTTTTTATCAATATAACATTAATCGCATGCTACTTGACTAGTCATTATCAGGTTTAAGGGTGATTGGATGATGTGGATTGTTTGACCAAAAAGCTAAGGCAAATTGGATGCTAATTCTATCTTAATACCTTAGTATGAATCTCTCCAAACCCCACCAGCTAGCAGATACCCAAATAGATTTTGAGGGAGCTCCAATTTATCTTCAGTGGGGCTTTTAAACCCATTATTTTCCTCTTCACTTTATCTATGGCGCCGATAGATTTTTTTTTGGTCCGCGTAAAATACGATCTCGTCCAATTCTTCAAGCTCCTTGCATACTTTAGCATCCGCAGCCTACTCAACATCATTCTCAAGTTTTTTTTTCGCGGGTATACTTTAGAAATAAGCAAAGCCACTCGATATTGCAGCTGCTCATAGTTCCAGTCCCTCTCAGACTTCAAGTCTAGAGGCAGATAAAGTTTGAAGCTACCATGTATCTTTGCCAGTTGAACAAAACTGCGAGATGATGAATTCGCAGTGATGACACTAGGGTCAATACCATAAATGTCCCTATAGTGTTCCGAAAAGCTTTCCCTGCACTTGAACAGGGACGGACGAAGAACAGCAAGTGCATCTGCAACTGGGTTTGGACCATGTGCAGAAGAATTGTCACGATATTTGAAATGTTTCTTAGGGATTGAAGGAGTCTGGATAGATCCTGGTATGCTGGAAGTCATCAATCGACGACGTATCAAGAGACCGACCAGATACAGTGCACTCATGCTTTCCTTCTGCTCTTTGAAATCATTAAGCTTCAGTTGCATATTCTTTATGATCTCTCTCAACGTGTGCCATTTTGCCTCGTTTCTTATTTCTATTTCATGCTCGGGGTTTCTCAAGTCGGTATCAGTCGTCAGAGATGTCAGAGTCGCAGGAATCCTCTGAGTCACTGGAACTATCGGAGTCATCATCGGAGCCGTCAGAGTCGGCGGAACCATCGATATTAGGGGAGACTGTTGGGTTATTTCTGTTGATAGATGCTTGTTGCTGATGCTTTATGACTGCCTTGAGGCTTTTAATATTGGCATTTTTGTCCCTAATTGTCTGTTGCAATCCATCGATGATGCTTCTGTTGATTTCATTTTCCGTCTTTTGTGCCGCAAGTTCGCATCGGAGGGTAGCCGTAATGCTCTACAGTGGAGGGTATTAGCTTATGTCAAACAAACATAATCTGAAACTATACCTCAAATAGCGTAAACAGTTCTTCTTCCTCCATCTTGGCATGTTTTGAATTTCGTTAAGGTTATAGGACTGTCGATATCACAAGGCAAATTGCAGCGTTGTTGGCGACAAGAGAAGCTCGAAAGGACATCGATCTGAGAAAGTTTCGATTATTTCTCTCAATTTTTCTCCAAAAGATTTACCCGTTCTAGTCGTGGATTGGAACAACGAGTGAATTTACATCTAAGGTCGGGAACTCGGCGCAATCAACCATGATATTTCAACGAAGAAGATCTTATAGTTATTTGAAGATTCGGTTCTTATGTTTGCTACGTACGCTCAATACTTGGGAGCAAATGCTAAGGATTCAAAGGAATACATGCAAACCAAATAATGAGTGAGAGGTTCTTGTCTTTCCAAGCAGATTGTTTACCATATATCACGGTATCTCCAATGAAACAATCCGTATATTTTCATTACATCCTCTCGTGATCATCGCAAGCCTTCTCTTGAGCCTTCGTTGTTGAGCACTATTTTTGCGCGGTATTTTTTATGCCGTTTCTTAAGTTGTTTTCGAACGCTCGAAAGCTTATAACATTCTCTAGACAAGGCCTCACCTTGGTGAAGATCGTTGTCTGTATCATATCTATCCCCAGACTTGAAAGAGTCGGAATCATGTTGAGATTTCCCCTATATTCCCGGTATCCATTGTATATCAAGCATTTACGGTACCATGTTCGAATCCGAGAGCAGTCTCGGGTGGGAAGAGATATATCTCATCATACTACGTAGCTCCTAAAAGCAGAATCTGGGCAACTTCCGGAATCACGCTGTGGGGTCGGCATCAAGAGTATACGCGTATCACAGTTATCGCGTGCTGTATCGTTTCCAAATTGTACGATGGTCTCCCTTCGGCAAGCGCTGATTCTCGCTTCAGATTCCAGCTCTATTATTCGGACCTGGCTCTTAAGGCTGATGCTGTATGTTGATATATTCGGGCTCCGTCATCTCTCGACGCAACATTTTGTGCTTTTGAATATTTCGTTCCACGTAATAGCTTCCGGAATCTATTACCGAGTCATTTTATCATGAAGTTATGCCATCTCCTAACTCCTTCCATATTCCTTACTAGTCATCTTCATACCTCTGTTATAGTACCGACTTTTTCTAGCTGTTTGAGACGCATTAGTATCCTTTCTCGTGGAAATTTGAGAAAGAGATATAGCATGTAGAAAACTTGTGAATTGATAAACACAATTGTAACATCTTGATCTGCAAGGGGCCAGTCCTTCCGTAAGCTTTCGATGTTTCTCTGCCATGAGGTTTGTGACCTATTGGAGTTCCTAATATCAGTTCTGTGCTTATAATTTAATGGGATATGTTCCTGAGAATGACGTGCTATACAGGTCTCCAGCTCCATCTCCTTTTCTACTAACCTCCGTTGTAGATAATCGATGCTATGCCACTCTAAGAATTTGATTAGCCTTGAGGGAATTATCTCAAATCCAGAAACGAAAACATGCCTCACTGCAATGGGTATAGCCTTGCTTCTTGATTCGTTAGCTGTGATTAAAAATTTACGAAGTTGGCAATTCTTGATTGGGAAAAAGATTAATGGTCAGACGAGATGGGAAGACGAAAGCAATGTGGAAAGTGTCGAAGTTTTACGCTCGAAAAAGGGGTTTAATGTTGAGGAGAGAGAATATGAATTGAAGAGCTAGCTTATTTATTCTCATCTAGTGTTACATTGACGACCGAGAGCCACCATGCTCCTCTTAATCTCGCTTGACCCTTTCGCGAATAAGACTCAAGCCATCATATTACTCTAAGTGTCCCTTGAATGAAGTATCGTAAGTGAAAAATCGCGATTTCACAATTTCCACTTCATATTGAACATCAGGGAGCTGAAAATGTACATGGTGAAATAAAAGCACTAGTGAAGAATAACACCTTCATGAATAACGGCCGGCTGTAACCATGTCCTACAATACCAGATTCTTAACGCGCTATAGAAGGATCTGTACTCATTTCAAACTTCTCCTCGAATCTCTTCGAATAATGGAAGAGGATGTATCAAGAGTCGCGGAGCGAAGTGCATTGGTACCACGAGATGTTTCTTCCAAGCTTCTATGTGACTCTTTACGAAAAAAAGAGTTGTTTTCACGACGAAACTTCCTGTGCTTATCCCGAAGCTCTCGAGAGGTATCCCATAGCTAGTTGAATTTCTTAATTGCTGCTTTGTCTTCATCAAATAACTCCGCATTGTGAAGTTCTTTCAAAGAATAGACTCTATTGACAAGGCGTTTAATATGGTATCTCCGGATGGCAGATTCTAGACTTCCGATCCCCTCATTACGCCATATCTTCAAGTCTTGATAAAGATCTAAGAGCTGTATGAATTTGGGAAAATATGAGTCATTCCATACACTCCCAAACTTATGAACCGTTTCTGGCGGTACAAGGTATGTAAACTCTAATTGCTCCCGCTTACCAGAAATTACACGACCAACGTCAGTCTTGGAGTCAGTCTCAAGAAACATCTGAGCATCTGCGAATGCATCTGCACCATGTGCAGCGTGGTTTCCAGGACTTGTGATTTTCTCTCTAGGGATGGAACTAGTTCTGGAAGCGATAGCGTTCCTCATCTCGCGAGCTCGAACCTTCAGTCCTATCTCGTAGAGCGGCTTCTTGAGTGAATCCGTAATCATCTGATGCTGACATACAGCGTTGACACGATCGTACTTTTCGGAAAAAAGAATGAGCTGGCCAGTCAAAAAACTGATGACACGATCATTGATCGTCCTTCCCATGATATCCACTTGCACCTCCTTGACACTGGAAAAGAGATTGATGTTTGCAGGCCATTAGTCGAAGAAACACAATAGTCTACTGAATGACCTACTTGCATAGACTTTATCCTTTCTAGACACAAGCCCGCTGAGATGAGCAATGTTGATATCCGCATAAAGGGGAAAGGTATTGGGATCCGCACTTGAAATCAGCAAGTCTTTCTCTGTTATAGTCAAATCTTTGTCTCTTGAAGTAAGATTCATTTCCGCAATAAGTTCATCTTTCTGTGTTATGATTTGATATTGAGCTGACATAGTTTTTCTGAGATCAGCAAACTGATTGGAAGCGCCCTCCAAAATATCAGCCTGCTTGAAAGCCTCGAGCTCCTTAGCTTGATTTGAATAAGCTGACCATAGCTTCTTGTATCCTTCTTGCCAATTAAATTGAAGACCTGCCGCTTCGCAAACACCTTCATGCCAAGCTTCAAGATTTTGAATCGATGAGATGGTGCTGTTTTGTTCGTTGATGGTTTGTTTTTGTACTGATACAGTCTCCCGGAGCTCCTCAGCTTTGCTGTTGGCGACTTTCAAAAGTTCATCTTTCTCCTCGAGCTTCTTCTCCAGATCGACTGTACGAGCCTAAAAAACTATAAGTCATACAAGAGGCCATGGTAGGACCAAAAGTTGAGCCATACCTTCAACGCGGGTAAGAGATTGTTTCCTTCCATCTTCTGATGTTCCAAACGCGAGCTCATTTGGAAAGTTTGAAGACTGTTTGTTCTCTTGCTCGCGAAAATGGGGTACAATAGCGTCTCGCAAATCTCCCAACAACCCCGAATGTGCAAAGACCAAAGGGCGATTCAAATTGAGAAACCAAACAAAAGCACAGTCTTTAAGAATATCGTCCGCCGCTAAACATCAATTGAGCCAAAGTCACTATCAAACAATTTATCGTTATGTAATTCGTGAAAGCGACAACAAAAGAAAAGTGGCGGAGAAATTTTATGCCGGATTAAGAAGTGATATATGTGGAGAGTGAAGTAGTTGCCATATCTGATATCTCGATGGCATGGAACATGTCGATTTGAACTTGAAAGACTTCATTTTGAAACTGGCTGAGTGTTAACTTGGTTCACTTTAGGATAAATGTGCGAGCTGTGCACCGCAGGCTGGACAGAGGAAGAGATCCTTTTATAGGTGGGAGAGGGGTATGTTAGGAGATCGTTTGCACACGTTATCAGTCTCACCAAACGATCAAAGTCTGTTTGCAAATCGTCAACAAGCAAGCTACAGCAATAACTCTGAATCATGTTTATGTATCGAGTGTTTTGTTTCTTGTCTGTGATCTAACTATACTGTTCTGTGACAGCTTAAGACAAGCAAAATTGTAATACAATGCTTAACTCTATTCCTGTTTGATACAAATCTAAGACCATCCACTGGGGTCCGACGCTTCCCAAGAGCTAATGCGATTTTCATCTAATACCTGCTGCTTTGATGCATTCGCCTCTAAATCTTCTTAAGGTAGATCATTTCTACATACGCTGGTTCTAGTTCCTCTGCCTCCTCTAGATACCCTACCTCTAGTTGTCCTCCCTCCTCTAGCCGTCCTACCTCTCCAACCTCTAATTGTCCTGTTCCAGTCTTCACGCATTGGATTTGGATATAGAACAGGAAGAGCAGCAGGACTAGCACCCCGCATATCCTCAAGCGAACTTTCTTTGGTAGTTACGGTACACGGTCCCCAACCATCATCTATCGGGTTCTGACTTTCATCAGGCGATAATTTGACGCTGGATACCGATTCAACTCTATTCCAATCAAGAGGAACCGGCTGGAGAGGGAGACCAGAATTCCTATGGGGAGGAGTAACAAATAAATTCTTAAAATATCGAGTTCGACTCATACCAGGCTTCGAGCTTTCTTCTGTTGGACTCTTTTTCATGATGGGAGACTCCGCTGAATGAGTTTCCTTGCTTGAAGAATCCTCTTCACCAAGTCGAATTTGGTCGACTTCTAAGAAAGTAGGTTGATCGACTCGTTGAGATTTTATCTTGTTCATATTTTCCTCCTTTGGGTACAGGCTTTCTAGTTCCCGGAAGATAGAGTCCCACTCAGGTAATTTCAGCCAATCAGCCTTGTAATTTGTGAACGGATATATGCCAAGTTTCCCACCCTCTGTAACGAAATCCGTCTTGAGATAACCTCGATTGGTGCGCCATTGTTTGATGTGAGCGAACCAGTTAATCACTTTGATCAATGGCTTGAAGCAATCATAGCTAGCCATTGAAATAATCTCGATTGGAGAATGGTGTTAAGTTTGTTTGTATAGCTCGTCATCATGAGACGTTCCGCACTTGTTATCAAACAGCTCAGGTACAAACATTACAGCGTCGAGTAGAGCGTCAGCATAATGTGCGACCTCGCCTCCCTTCTCAATGATAGTCATATCCCTTCCTTGCGGACTCTTCGGCCATTCTAAATGACGACTTCGGATTGCAAAGCCAGCTTGTTGTGGAAGCGCGCGTAATGTGGCACAGAACTCTTTCTTCTTCAGTATTTCCTTGAGTATCATGCGATCCGATTCACGCCGCCTTGTCGCTCTGTCGTAGGTTTGAGTACTATCACTATTATGCGTTCTTTCGATCTCATCAAGGGCAAGATTCAAATCGACAGTCGTCTTGAACATTTTTCGAGCGTTTTTCAGCCATGCAGCAACTTCTTCAAAGTCCGTCTCATCGAAAGAGACACCAATGCGCGACTAAATCTTGAAGAAGGTCGTGGATTCAAATTTTTGCGGACGGTGGCTCTTTGCTAAAGCGTATTGGTTCACCAAATCTGCAAACATAGAAGAGTTCTCAAATCTTTTGGCAGTAGTCCATTTGATACCATATACACGAGTAAATGTTTCGCCGTCGGTATGATATCCTGGTATATGAGCGTCAAGGTATGAATTCATGTCGGCAAGAACATAAAACTCTGAGTCGATTTAGGATCATACGAAACAAGTGCTTGGGTAGAAGCAAAATAACTGTCTCTACGAACCCGATGACTTTCAAGGAAAGTAGTTCGCATTTCTAGACCAACAATGTCGAACTCTGTGCTCTGACTGCTCAATGCTTTATCCACGGCCTCCTTCACAGCAGCAGCAACGTGTTCCTTGACTTTCAAATCTTCTCCCAGTTATGATTCTCCCAATACGACTCAAGTCTGTATATCTTACACTCCAGGGCGTCGTTCTTTAATTTGTGATCTTCTTTCAGCTTTTCAACCTCGCTTTTAAAGTAATCACAATGGTCCTTTGCGAGTTGCCTGAGAGACCCAACTTCCTCCTTTAACCTCCTATTTTCTCTGACCAAACTTTGCTCCCATGTCCGTTGTCGCTGCTGATAATGTTTGGCTTGCCGAATTGCTTCGAGATATTTATTCTGCGACCGAATTTCTTCAACAAGTGTATCGTGCGCACTTTTTGCAGCTATCAACAACGCCTTCTCCTCCACCAATTGAGCGCCCGCTTTATTCAGTTCCGATTTTGTGTGCTCGAAGGCCTCTGTATCAATGAGAATCTTCTCTTCTTTGGCTTTGACTTCTTCTCTCAAGCTAAGTAATTTGGGTTTCTTTGTGGCCGGTTTCTCCTTAACTGCATTTGTTGGAACTGGAAATTGGTAATTATGGAGAGATGATATGAAATCGCCTTGGTCGTCCCAGTCATTGTCTTTGAACTCTATACCTGAAGCTTGTCGATTAGAAGATGAAGAACAGGAATCTCCACTCCCCCATCTACCGCCGTCATTAAGGGGTGACCACGACATGGTGCTTCGCGTTCTGAAAAGCTCGCCTTGATCCATGTTGTAAGGGGGTTAAAATGAAGATAAAGTCGGGGAGTGGGAAAAATATATTTTCGCAAGGCTGCCAGTACGTACTCCGAAAGTAAAAGTATGCTAAGCTAAATGGATTATCAAACTTCACTTGCTGAAGCGAAGTTTGAAATTCAAGAATGTTGGCGGTGGCTGTCATCTCGTGAGCTCATGTGAAAAAATATGAATGACAGTAATGATTTTGACGACGAATTCGTCAACATCAATGGCTGAATATTAATCTTATACATTCTGCGGATTCGCATTTGTGATATCAGAATCCTGCAATGATGTAAGTGTGCTTGACAGTGGAAGGTCATCAACATGACTGCTCTCGATCACATGATTTACCTGCTGAGTCCACTTAAATGGCAGATGCACCTGTGCTGAATCCTCTCCTGGTTTCTTGAACACTGTCCAGTGTTGTTTCCACTCCAAGCTGTATATCCAAAATACGCACCCTTATATCATTAGATTTGTAGTTCACAATCACATTTTTGACTCTCGGTAACTATATTGAAAGCACATAGAAGTCTCCAATTCCGAACAAATCACCAAGCACTCATTTATCTCTGGACTCAAATGTCAATATCATTTATCTTAACCGTCCAATCTTCAGTGTCATCAAACTAGATATAAAAGAGAACTAAAACTCCTAGTCCATCGGGTATTTTCTGTTGCTTTCTAAAGGAGATTCGTATGCAAGCGTTATGCAGGTGTATCTGTTCGGTCCGTCTAATATAAGTTTCGTGTAGCCAAATTCGTTATCATAAATCTCGTAAATCCGTGCATATCCATATCCCATCTCATCCTTGTTTCCATGTTTCAAATTGATGCTTCATCATGCGTCATGCCTTCAAGCCAGCGAACTCTCTCACTGTTCACGCCAACACTATTTTTCCCCCTCATTTCCACAAGCACAGACTGCGTAAGGAGCTTTCAACGCGTGAGGAATTCCAGTTCCAATTCCAACCCCGTCGCTGTGCAGTAAGCGTTGCACACTCACCCGCCAACCACCCCAACATCAACCCAGTCCTCACACACACCAACACATCCTCCATCTCCACATCCAATGTTCCCATTCCACACCATTCGAGATCAATCTCGAAATCCACGTCCAGCAAATCTTCCAAGCCGGAACTAATCCAATCATTTTGCTCCACCCACCACACTATCCAGAGCATGAATTGACAAAGCATAATCAACGCCAACATAGCCCACCTCATCACACTCTTCACGATGCCTCCTTCCATCTTCATCCCCATCCCGCCTTCAAAAGATTCCATCCCGTTTCCAAAAAACACACCGACTTTTCGCACATTCAGTATATAACATGACATCTTTAAAAATATTTTATGATACAGTATCTCTTCTGCCGAACGGCAATCTCGATACCCGAGTGGACTTTGCTACTTTCGCAACAATAGTTTCAAGTGGAACCTGAAGCTGTTCTCCACAATCACAAGCACAAGGAAGATAATCAGACTTACCATTGCCTGATCCCAATCCCACGCTTCGCCTAACCTTCATGTTTCTTCTTTTCTCATCGAGATAACATGCCTTGAGCTTCTTACGGGTAATGTTTCCGCAATATTCGCGCACGGCGTCGAGATCCATGTCCTCGAATGTTGTATCGATGTTCTTGGTCCAGGTTTTGAAGAACTCGGTTTCCATGTAGTCTGATTTGCGCCACGCCTTGACAGATGAATGCCAGCGGAGCATTTCAATAAATTCGGCGCAATCTTGGAGACGAAGGACTGTTTGCCAGCTTGCCCAGTACAACTCCTTGAAAGTTTCCTCATCTGTACGTTTCTCGAATGCAATACCCGGGACATGGGAGAAGAGAGTGGCATCGGTAATAGGACGTCCATTGTAAACGCTTGAATTGCCCAATTCGTAGATAGCGTTGCGTTCCTTGGCTTTTGGATCGTATGCAGAGTTCCTCTCGAGGAAACGGTTACGGACGCGTTGACCGACAAAGAAGAGGTGCTTCATCGATTTTCGCTGTTGGCTGAGAGCAGAGCGAACAGTTTCGGCGATGTATTCTTGGATCTTAGGATTTTCTTTCCACTCTGAAACTTGACCTTCAGGATTAACAAAGGTGGTTTCACTTTGGAGTTCTTCGTGTGGAGGTGCACCATAGTCGAAATCTGGGTGACTTGTATTTTCAAGCTTGCGCTTCAATTCAGAGTTTTCGACTAGCAAGGCACCAACATCGATTTTGCCCTTATGGTTCACGGCTTCTTCGTAAAGTCTGACTTTCTCTGCCAATTTTTGATTCTCCTCAGACAATTGCTCGCATTCCAGTGTCTTCATACCAAGTGATGACTCCAAATTGAAGAATTTGATGTTGGTCTCTTCTTCCCGAATCTCAGTTGATAATTGTCCATTTCTCTTGATGAAGTATTGGACAATTTCATTCTTCTCTAGTAACTTTGAGTTGACTTCCTTGAGTCCTGATTCGATTTTCTTTGCCAATGCAGCAAGAGCCACAGCTTCCGAATGCTCAGAAACCATGTCTTCAGCACACTTCTTGAGATCTAATTTTTTCACTGCGAGACGGTCTTCTGGCGTTACTTCTGGAGTGTGCTCTTCCTCCTCGAAGACAATTCCAGTCTCATCATGAGTGTTTTCGTCATCTTCGAAGATAGCGCCGAGACGTTCTCCAGGAGTTTCGTCTGGGTAATTATCTTCATCCTCGAAGACAACTCCAGAGTCTTCCATCAGGTCATATTCGGGAGCTGATGAGGTGGGTTCGACCATGTTAAAATATCCAGATTCTGACATGGTGAATTGGTATACTGTACGAAAAAGAGTGTCGTGATATTTTTATTTAAAGATTGAAATATTTAATAATAAAATGAGGAAATTCTAGACAAGATCAACAACAATGCTCCCACAATTGGTTTGGTGTTGTGTGCGAGGTTGGATCAAATATGGAAGCTGTGACCGAAACTAGATGTGTGGAAAAACCGGTGTAGAAAAAAAGAAAGAAAAAATTCAAGAAACAACTAAATGACTTGAAAAGTTGGAAGATAAATAAGTTATCTACGAAATGAATCGCAGAATGATGATGGATGGGGGTGGGTTGTGAAGAGAAGAATCAATCTGCGGAACCCAAAGTACATGTATAAAAATAATGCAGGTACGAACGGTACAGTCAGTCATAGAGTCATCACAAAAAAAAACTTGGTCACCAAAGCCGACCCGACAACAAAGCAGCAAGCAGTTTGAGGGTGTATTGGGCGATAAAGAAACACTTCACTTCTCTAGGTAAAGTTTCAAGGTTTCATGTACCTACTGTTGCGATGCCACGTGTTTCATCTCATTCGTGGTTAAAAACGAGGCGGTGGATACGATCGACCAGATTCTTTCGCAACCGCTGGGCCAACAGATATTTCGACATACTCCGATGCATGTCAAAGGTGGTAATGGTGCTAACGGGTTCTTCTCAGGCCTCGAGCTGAATCGGACCATCGACGATTGGAGCCTCATTATTTTCACACCCGCGACGTTTAGAACTTGGCGATTTGTGGGAAAAGAGAAGCAGTAAGCTGGAAAAATGGAGGGAAAGTTGGAAGGAAAGGGCTGGGAGGGGACGGATTATCCTGCGACGAACGAATTCGATAAGCTGGGCATCTGCTGGTGGTGGGGCTAAATGCTGTACGTTCCGTGGCTCGCGTGGTTCAATCCTAAGGCGGCCAAATGATATTGAAGAATCGCGGTGTGATTCCCCACACCCCTCATGCAGCAAAAAAAGTTCTGTGAATGAGCCAAACGTAAGAAATGCAGTTAGCAAGATTAAATCGCATAAGCGAACGTTCTGGGTCATTTATGCAGAGAATCAAGTGGAAGACGATGCAATATAACGGGTCAAAAGTGGTAAACATCACGAAGTTTAGGTAGATCACAAAGTTAGGAAGGAGAAGCGAAAGACCATCCCGCACATGCAAGAATGGGTGACGAATCTGACGATATGTGTCCAGCTTGTACTCGGGACACAATGGTAAAAAGATATTGGGACACCCCATTTTGCATTGGCATTTGGATTCGCATCTGCATTTATGCATTTTATGACGAAGCAACTTGCTTCTGATTCCATTGCACACATTCATCCAATGTGACCCCGGAACCTCCGAAAACATCCAGAGCACTTCCTATTGTGAGATCAACCTTTCCATCACTAAGTCTCTTGACGTTATCAAGATCTTGGAGATTTCTTCCGCCACCAGCATAAGTGACCGGGATACTACACCATTGTGCTAGTTTCTCGACGAGTTGTTCATCGATACCTTTTTGCAACCCCTCATTGTCCGCTGCATGGATTAAGAACTCGGAGCAGTATGGCTCTAAGGATTTGATAGATGCTAAAAGATATATGAGTTTTCAATGATGAAGAGAGGAAAGAAATGCGATACTCACCCTCATTCACCTCCATATCTGTAATGGTTTGCCATTTGTTCATAGCCACAAACCAAGTATCATCTCTCCTTCGACAACTCAGATCAATGACAAGTTTTTCTTTATCACCACCAAGAGATTCCAATACGGAATCTAGTCGTTCTTGGGAGAACTTCCCATTAGGAAATAGGAAAGAAGTAATGATGACCTACCATTCCAATCAATATCGATCCTTCCACCACTAGCAACACGATATAAACATACCCTCTCAGCACCCCATTCAATCCACTGCTTAGCATTTTCATCCGTGATACCACCTCCAACTTGAAGACCATTCTTCCACTCTCCTACAGCTTGTTTTGCAGCCTCCTCATTGCCAGGACCAAGCATAATAACATGAGCACCGGTGAGATCATTGTCCTTGTACAATTTTGCGAAATGACCAGCCGGTAATTTCGATACGTAGTTGGTCTTCAAGTCAGATGAAGCAGTTGTTAATGTGCCGCCTACAATCTGCTTCACCTGACCTGAATGCAAGTCTATACAGGGACGAAATTTAGTCATTATGAAAAGTTTCTCGACGTGATATCTTGATGTTTGAAGATATTGACCGACAAACGTCTATGTCGAAATTCTAGGAGAAAGAAAAGAAAGAATCAACTAATTCCGAGATGTGTTGTTGACCTTCTGCCTGTATAACTAAAATCGGGTTTCGTCTTCCACCAAAATCATCTCGGCAGAATCCCGGCACATCACCATAATTTTTTCCTATCCAGAACATTTATTAATATTCTGGGGAAGCTACAAACATCAGATTTGCGAAAATTACCAAGTCCCAGACAGAACAATCTTCAATATGCCTGCTTCACTCGGAAAACGAAAGCGCTCATCCGCGACTGAACCTACCAGTTCGAAAGTTTCAAAAGTACCTAAAACTACCCCAATTATATCTAGACCAGTATCTAAACCCCAATCAAAAGAAGAAGCTTCAGATAGCTCTTCAGAAGGCGACGCAGATGAGGAGGAAGATGATACCGAAGTTCTCGACCCCCAAGAAATATTCCGTCGTCATTTCGAAGCACAATTCAAACCGCTACCCCCTATAACCAAAAAGCCTAAACCCAATCCAACAATCGAGAATCCCGAAAATGAAGACGAAGATTGGGATGGCTTGTCAGATAATTCCGCCCAAGACAACGAGCAGGAAGAAAACGGCGTACAAGTAGTCGAACATGTTAAGAAAATCGATTCCCGGATCGCGGGGATGAGTAAAGGGGAACTGAGGGCTTTCATGGTATGTACATCTATCATTTTCTCTCTACTCTCCTTTATCTATCTCCCAATATCTAACACACTTTATCTAGTCTTCCAAAATCCCCAAATCGCGCCCTACCCCCTCTCTCTCCAAACTTAGCGAACTACCAGCGGGTTCCGCAGACGACCCCGGCGCAACCGAAGCACTCAATCTCAAAAACGATCTCGCGCTCCAACGACTCCTCGATGAATCGCACCTCTTGACATCCTCCTCCTCTTCCTCAGCTGCTAACTCCCATGCCGTCCATACTTTACAAGGAAAGAACCGACTAAAGGCACTGGATATGCGTGTACAAGCACTAGGTGGGAAGACTAGTATACACACACAAGAGAGTATGCCGATGAATATGCGAAAGGGGATAATAAGGAAGGCGGAGGAGAAAGAGGAGAAGCGAAGGAGAGAGGCGAAGGAGAATGGGATTGTGCTTGAGACGAAAGGAAGAGGAGGGGGAATTAGCGGGGGAAGGGAAAGAAGGAAAGAGAGGAGTGGGACGGGAGGGACTTTTGATTCTGGTCCTGGGGTTGGGAAGATGAGGGGTGCGACCTTGAAATTAAGTGACAGAGATGTGGTGGGGATTGAGGGGAGTAAGAGAGGTGGAGGTAGGATGGGTAGGAATGGAAAGAGGGGGGGGAGGGGGAGGGGAAGGGGGAATAGGAATTAGTGGTTGGTTGTTTGAAACCAAGAGACCATTATGGAAGATGTAAAGGGATGCTCCATGAATACATGTTCTACAAAGCAAACAAAGAATTGATACCCAAGCAAACTACAGCAAATATCACACAAGATCACAAGCAGACTTCACGAGCACTTCCGATGTATGCATCCACGTACCAAAGCAAACAAGGTATCAGTCAATTTCATACTGTACAAATTTCCGTTCTCATCAAACCCTACGCTCCAGAATTCACCAATATTGATTCACAAAGGTAAAAGTAAGTGCCCTACAACCCATCCTTTCAGGTGATTTGCAGATGCAGTTGCGTTCATTCAAACAAACAGTTCAGTTCAGCCAAATAACGCGCCCAGGCCCTACCCCTCATGAACTCCGTCCTTCAGTCCCTTCAAATGCCAAGGGAACCTAGGAAATGTATGTTTTCATAATTCTTCCTGCTAATAGCTAGGAAATTCGAGTTTTACTAAACTCTTCCTTACTGCTTATTTGCATATTGGAAATGTCCGAATGCGCCTCCACCATTACTTGGTGTTAGCGGACCTAAACCATTTCCTCCATTATTATTATGCGCAGGTGTAGTTGCTAAATTCGCATTTCCATTATTTGGAGTACTGGGTGCGCCATTTGCAAACGACGATCCTGAGCCATTTTGATTCGGAGTAGTATTTTCTTGGTATTGATTGTAATGTTGCGGGGTGGTTTGTTGGGTAGTGACTGTATTGACTTCTTGGAGATTGATACCGAAGACACGACCTAAATGTTCGTCTCCGATCTCGCCGTCAAATAGACGTTCGCGAAGTTTGAAAAAGACCCGGCCGTTGACGAGGGAATCGGAACCAGCTTGGTGAACAGCACCTACACGTTTGACTTTGAGGACGTCGATCATGGTTTCGATGTTCGGATGTCGTTCGGTGCGCTGAAGGAGTTCTGCGGTGACTGCGTCGACATGAGAAAGCTGGCCCAATTTGTTCATAATTGTTCCTTGTTGCATAAGATATTTGATATCATATACACTTGGAAAGAACTTTTTCATGAGCATATCGAATTCTCTTTCGTCATCCGGTAAGGGTCTTTGAAGTAGAATCTTTGTAAGATATCCAAAATCGTAGCCGGCGTGCCCTGAGATCCAACGTTTCTCCTCATCACATACAAGCCCGGAACTAATCAATACCGCACCAAACTCGAATGGATCGATGCCTTCTTCCTTTAATCTGTTGAAATCCGTACCGGCAATCTTCCTTTCGTCAATGCCCTTTTCTGCATACATATCATCCGATAGAGAGAATTTAAAGTTGAACTGCCATGTACAAGGTACCTGTCCCATGCCGTTGCCAATTCTTCGTCCTGCTGAGTTCCGATCTAGTCCCGAGTCCGAGGGAGGAGTCGCAGGCAATGATTCCCCATCCTCCGAATATAATGTTATGCCAAGTTGTATAAGTTTCAGTAAATCTACGTTGCATCGTAAGCATTGATAGTGATAATCTCCTTTGCCATTAAATGATCCCATGGGTCGAGCAACGATTCCAGGAAATTTCGCGTCCTAGCAATGTTAACTCCGGCGTCAACAATCACCAATGGAATATCTTACCATAGAAATATAAGGGTATTTGTCCACTAGTTGCCGCAGAATCGCCATCTCCTCATGTAAATTCCCTTTCCAAACATCTCGTATTCTACCCTTATCACGTATACCCCGCGTCCCTGAATCTGCCATTCCGTTGTGCCCTTGTTGTTGCAACGGTGCTGCAGCGAAGCTCATTTGTGCAGCTTGACTTGCTAATCCACCGCCTTGCAATGGAATACCGGGTGCAGAGAACCCTCCTGGTATGCCCATACTAGCTCCATTTGCGAATGCATTGCTCATGGAGTTCGCACTCATAAATTGGTTTCCGATCGAGCCAGGCGGAGGAAGTCCTGCGGTGTGTGGTTGTGTATGAGGTGGATATTGTTGATAATGAGATGCCATACTATTCGGAGCAGTCCCGTAGGCTTGCATTCGTGGAGGCATTTTGTTTTCGTCGAGTATGTATGTTGGGTATAGTAGGTGGGTTGATGGTTTTCATGGACGCAAATTGCGCAAGGAGAAGAAGGGTTTCTTTTTCGCAGTTGAAAGCAACAACAGTTCTGAACAAGGAAATATGATAATTATCACTTTGTAAATTATTATTTGCTTTAAAATTCAAAAAGTCTCAACACCAAGTCTTATGTTTCTTAAAGTTCAAGCTGGCTGCTTTGATTAAGCATGAGCAATTACTATAGCTAAGGATGGCGCTTAATGTTAGACGCCCTAATCATTCCCGAACTATACCCGAGCTAGACCTCCACATTCAATACAATACACCGTCTACCACTTGACAGTAATTCATTAGGTGAAAGTCGTAATTCTCACAATGCAGTGCACAAGGTAAGTTTTACTGAAAATAAATAATGGTAAACTTTATCTTTCAATCGCTGACTTTTTTGAACAGGATTCTCAGAGCTGCACAACGTGCAAATCTTACTGGTTTCGACCCAAAAGCATTAGCTGCCGCTTCTGGTAAAAATGCTGGCGACCCATGGGCGCGACGGTAAGCTCGAAAGCGCAAACCCCCAAATCTTCGGACTCACCATACTGATAGTTGTTATTAGTGAGGCTTGGAGATATCAAGGACAATACTCGAGGCGGAATCGATTTTCGAACACCTTCCCTGGATTAGGCATTGCGACGGTAGCTTTTGCAGCATATTGCGGATACGAATACTTCTTTTTGGCGGACGAGCATCATGGGCATGCAGAGGGTCATGGGGACGGACATCACTAAAGAATGAATTGATGGAAAGTCGTTGTACATATGGGTTAAATTTTATCCTTGAGGATGATTCCCTCATTCTCAACATGTACTGCGCACGCTCCATGTATATGGATATGATATGAATTCTTTATTTCTCTGTGAGGAGGCAAAATATTGACGACTCACTTTCCATACAACGGGCAATGTATTGGCAAGCCGCGACGAGGACAAGCGCCCTATATTTTCGAAAATCATTGTGCAAGCGTGCAATGATCAATCTGTCGATATTATGCTTCTCCATGGCTCAAATCAATGCCAGATTTCGTGTTCCGTCGGTTGGAAGCCGAGAAATAGGGTAATTTTGTTGTGCTGAAAAGGAAAGGATGGAAGTTAATCGCGAAATGATGATGGAAATTGCTAAACACATTCGTTAAGTATATATGTTGCAAGAACAAGAACATATCTACTGTGAGAAGGCCGACGTCAAAATTTAAGGATTCAGTTGGGATGATACAAAGATTGTCCGGGATGGCGGGAAAGTGTATAGAGACTGGATCGAAAGTGTTGATTGAATAACAACTGGTCAGTACTTTTGAGGCTTGCAGCAAGATCCCTTAAAGAGCATGCCCCATTGATACTGAATATACCCATTTACCACCCGCACAACGTTCGGGAGAAAGAACATGCAAAGTGAGCCAGCTCGATTTCTTTGGCTTGAAGCAATTGCCCATCTTCGACCGATCGTCTTTTATGATCACCTCTCAATACGCTATATAGGAACACAAAAAGATGCTAGAAATTACCAC